CTTGTTTTTCTCCTCAGTCATTTCCTGAACTCACATAGTGTATTAATGAAGCAGATCAAGGTTCCTCCTTGCCCACAGTGAGGTCAGTCTCTGCCTCCTGCTTGAACAAATCTATACCCTTGCAACTACGGCCAAGGCTCTGATTTGTAATCTCCAGCTACGTTGTCTACTTAATGGAGCGATCATGCAAGCTACAACCAGAGACAAAGAATCTCGAATTCCTACCAGGGCAGCTAACTTGGAGGGAGCAGCATAGCTTGCAAATCTATCAAACTAAACTGCAAGAAAGACAATCTGATTTAGAGAAAAGGCGTTCCGCTACAGTCATTAAGCACAAGTAATTTAGATTTTTTATATTGTCTCCTCATTTACAAATTTACTGTATCAACGCCAACCAATGGAACGAATTTCTTAAGTAAATGAGAAATAAATAAAAGAGATAGAAAGATAATAAGATTACATAAAATAATTCTCTTTCCTACATATATTTTTGAGAGAACTAATAATAGTAGTAAAATTATAGTGATAATAACATATCGTAGGAAGTAATTAATTTAAATTAGCATCATGTTTAAAGAAATATAAGTAAAACATTTTATGGACATTTACTTTTGTACAAAGAAGTAAGGCCTGGAAAGCATGCATTGGCATCCTGAAAATTAGTTATAGCCATAAATGGTTTAATTGAAGATGGCAGTTTAAAATATGATATTGTAAATCTGCAACTTGGTTTCAGCCTGGGGAATTTAATTTTGGGGCAGTGGAACATTTGGCTGCAAGTTCACTTGCAATGCTGTGAGCACTGAGCTTCTGACAATTCGTCTACATTAATATTGATGTCACTTGTGCAATCTATTTCTGTTATTTTTATGGTTGTTATTCTACATCTACAAAGGTCATTTAAATTATACTGCGGCCTGAAATTTGTTTCATAAATTTTGATATAAATACTAATTACACCCTCTCAGAGAGCCAGCAGGGTAGCATTCATTTATCACGTTTATACAACCTGCAATGACAGAAAGGGAAGGCAAGGGAGACCGGAGAGCTTTTCCCAAGAACCGCTAAGAGTGGCAAAAGAGGCTGCAGGTTGCTGGGGTGAGGGTGAGGATAAAGAAGAAATTCCTACCACAATCACTGAGATTTAAGAATCTTTAATAAGGTACGAAAAATTACCAAACAGTTCTGGAAACTAAAGTGTACATAACGAGTTCTTCTAGCCATAAATATTGAATAGCTGTAACATGATAATCTGGCCCTTTACATGCGGGTAAATATGGTAAATATGGAAACTAGGAATTATATACATTACATGGTTGTATTTTTTTTGCCAAAAGCAACTGACAGTTATAGTTTATATCTTTTTTAATATCACTTTACATAAACAAATGGGCCAGTTTTGACACGCAGATCAAGGCTCCTACTATACGAATTCTTGACAGGACGTGAAACAACATTTTACTGCACTTAAGTACTTAGACTTTGGGTCAAAATGTTTGCACTTTATAGCAAAATAAAAAAAACTACACACACACACACACATCAATACCAATAATATTCTTTTAGGTCGACGTGGAGACTGTAATCGTACAAATTCACATTTTGGTACACATTTACTAGAACATTCTTGCCATTCAGTACAACAGTGGCTTTCGCCACCCACCCTCCCCCACCTTCCCACCCTCCCCGCGCCCTCCCGGCCCCTCCCCGACCCAATGCAAAGACCACAACACCACGATCCCACCCGCCCGCTCAAACCCGAGATATAACTATTTACAGAATCCAACGTACAATT